CCGAAGTGAGTTGAAAACTATTCTCAGTGCTGTTCGAAGTAGTTTTGAACTTTCCTGAAGCAATTTACCCGACAAACAATTCCTTATTGAACAAGTGACTCCTTATACTGAGTACTAATTGTAATATTTTCATTCAAAACTACTGCTAAAGCTTGTTTACACAAATTTGGAGAACTTATTCAACTACATCATTGTACTGCTTTGGTATTGTATAAAGCATATGTAGATACTTTTACTTCGACTTGTATGCCACACTTAGGACGGGTAAGAGGACTTGCGTTACTATTATCAAAAAATAAATAAAGTTCTTTGCCTATTCCGATGGATAATCCAAACGCTTCCGAAGTGATTCTGGATAGTCCCTACGAGGAAAGTCATTCCCGAGGGAGATTCCAGACGGGCGACGAAGGCTTCAGACGTTCTCTACGAGTAAAGACTTCCCAAAGTAATTCAAAACATTTTCGGATTCTAGATGTTTTATGTCTTGGATTCCATACATTCACGAAGTGAATCCAGAAATTCCTGACCAGGATTCCATTGCAGGTTTTATCGAGGTTTTAGAGCATTCTACAAGTCCAAATCATGGTCTACAGAACCTTCATAAAACCAAAATTGTTACTTGGGCAAGGAGATACGATCCCAAAAACGTTCTGATCATTCTTAACGAGGATTTATTCAGTTTCCGACGGAGATACCAAAAATTCCCTATGGGGATTCCAGATAATCCCAATGAAAATTCCAGGCGTTCCCGAGGTGATTCCAGACAGTTCTGACGAGGATTCGAAATACATCAGACGTTCTAGACGTTCACGACGGTAATTCCAGACGTTCCAGACGAAGATTTCAGACGCTCCTGATTGAGATCCCAAACGATCTCGACAAGTACAGACTTCCCAAAGTGATTCCTGGAAATTCCCAAGATAATTCCAGATGTCACCGAAGCGATTCTGAATATTATCGACGAGGAATCCAGACGTTTTGTGTCCTGGATTCTAGACGTTCCTGAAGTGATTCCGGGCATTCCTGACAAGAATTGCACCAGTTCTCGATGGAGATTTCTAACGATACCGATGGTTATTCCAGAAGATCCCGAAGACGTTCTGAACATTTCTCACGAGGATTTACGCAGTTTCCGATGGAGATACCAGAAACTCCCTCTAGGGATTTCAGGTTTTCCCAACGGAGATTCCAGACACTCCCGAAGTTATTCCATACAGTCCCAGAAGAGGATTCTAGAAATACCTGAACGAAAATTGCAGACACTCCAGATTGAGATTCCAAACGTTCTAGACAAGTACAGACTTCCCAAAGTGATTCCTGAAATGTCCTAAGATAATTGTAGACGTTACCGAAGCGATTCTGAATATTATCGGCGAGGATTCCAGACGTTTTGTGTCCTGGATTCTAGACGTTCACGGAGTGATTCCGGATATTCCTGACAAGCATTGCACCAGTTCTCGATGGAGATTTCTGACGATTCCGATGGGTACTCCAGACGATCCCGAAGACGCTCTGAACATTCCTCATGAGGATTTACGCAGTTTCCGATGCAGATACCAGAAATTCCTTTTGGGGATTCCAGGTTTTCCCAACGGAGATTCCACACACTCCAGAAGTTATTCCATACAGTCCCAAAGAGGATTCTAGATTCCCTAAGTGATTCCTGAAATGTCCCAAGATAATTCCAGACGTTATCGACGTGATTCCGAACATTTTCAGCGATGATTTCAGTCGTTTTGTGTCTTGGATTCTAGACGTTCCTCAAGTGATTTCGGACATTCCTGACGTGGATTCAAGCAGTTTCTATTGGAGATTTATGGTGATTCCAACGGGTATTCCAGACGATCCCAAAGAGGATCTTAACCTTCCCAAACGGAGAATTATGCATATTCCAACGGAGATACCAGAAATTCTCAATGGGGATTCCAGATATTCCCAACGGAGATTCCAGACATTCCAGAAGTGATTCAGGACAGTCCCGACGAGGATTCTAGATACATCAGATGTTCCAGACATGCACGACGGAGATTTCAGACGATCCGGACGATAATTTCCGACGTTTCCGATAGAGATTTCAGAAGTTCTCGACGAGTACAGACTTCCCAAAGTGGTTCCTGAAATTTCCGAAGATAATTACCGACGTGATTCCGAACATTCTGGGCGATGATTCCAGTCGTTTTGAGTCTTGGATTCCAGACATTCCTGACGAGGATTCCAGCAGTTTTGATGGAGATTTCAGACGATTCCGATGGGTACTCCAGACGATCCCGAAGAAGTTCGGTTCATTGCTAACGGTGATTTATGCAGTTTCCAACGGAGATAGCAGAGATTCCAGACATTCGCAACGAAGATTCCAGACGTTGCTGACGACAACTTCAGACGTTACCGATTAAAATTCCAAACGTTCTCCACAAATACAGACTTCCCAAAGTGATTCCTAAAATTTCCGAGGATAATTCCAGCCGTTTTGTGTCTTGGATTCTAGACGTTCCCGATGTGATCCCAAATATTTTTGACCAGGATTTCAGCAGTTGGAGATTTAGGATGAATCCGACGGATACTCCAGACGATTCCGACGGGTACTCCAGACGATCCCGAAGAAGTTCAGTTCTTTGCTAACGGTGATTTATGCAGTTTCCAACGGAGATAGCAGAGATTCCAGACATTGCCAACAGAGATCCCAGACCCTCCCGAAATGATTCCAAAGAGCCCCGATGAGGATTCTAGAGATTTCAGACGTTCCTGACGACAATTTCAGACGTTACCGATTGAAATTCCAAACGTTCTCCACAAATACAGACTTCCCAAAGTGATTCCTAAAATTTCCAAGGATAATTCCAGACGTTTTGTGTCTTGGATTCTAGACGTTCCCGAAGTGATCCCAAATATTTTTGACCAGGATTCCAGCAGTTGGAGATTTAGGATAAATGTGACGGATACTCCAGACGATCCCGAAGAGGGATTAACGGGGGTTCATGCAGTTTCCGACGGAGACACCAGAAATTCCCTATGGGGATTCCAGATAATCCCAACGGAGACTCCTGAAGCTCCCGAAGTGATTCCGGACGGTTCCGAAGAGGATTACAGAGAAGTGGTTCTTGAAATTCCCAGGTATAATTCCAACAGTTTCCAACGAATACTCCAGACGTTCCCAATGTGATTCCGCGGAATCCAGCAGTTCCCAAATGAGACATCGAAAGCAATTCCCCATGGGGATTGCAGATGTTAATGACAGATATTCCAGATGCTCCCGACGGAGATTCTAGACATTCCCGACGTAGATTCCAGAAGTCCCAAGCTTGTATTCTAGACTTCCCAAACGGGTACACCAGACAGTCCAGAAGTGGTTTCGGATATTACCGACTTGGATTCTAGGCTTTCCAAAGCGGGTACTCTAGACGTTCCCGAAGTGACCGAATATTCCCTATTCCACCGAGAACGTTTGGATCCATGTCGGGAACATCTGGAATCACCGTTGGGAACGTCTGGAATCACATCTGTAATCTGCACCAAGAACCTCGGGAAATCTTCGTTGGTAATGTACGAAAACTTTTTCATATCCCTATCGGGAACGTCTGGAATCCCCGTGGGAACGTATCGAATCTTCGTTAGGAACGTCTGACATCCCCGACGGGGACGTCCAAATTATCTGTTTAGAACGTCCCAAATGCAAGTAGAGAACGTCCAGAATCCATCAAAAATGCTAGCAATCCTGCAATTTCCGGGAAAATTTGGAATGCATGTTGGGAACGTGTGGAATTACCATTAGGAACGTCTGGAATCATCGTCCAGAACGTCTGGAGTCTCCGTCTAGAGTATCTATAATATAACTTGAGGACGTTTGAAATGAGAACTTCGGAACGATAGCCTGCAATCTCTGTCGGGCACGTTTAGAACCGGGAACGCATGGAATATATGTCGGGAATGTCTGGAATCACCGTGGGGAACGTCTGGAATCATCATCAGGACCGTCTAAAACCTGCAACAAGAACCTCTGGAATCCTCGTCGGGAATGTCCGAAATCATTTCGATACCCCTATCTGGAATCCTCGTCGGGAACGTATGGAATCTTCGTTGTGACCGTCCGACATCCTCGACCGTCTGAGAACGCCTGGAATTGAGAACGTTCAGAAACCACTCCGGAAATGTAAGCAATTCCCTCAGGGAACGACAGGCAATCTCTGTCGGGAACGTCTGGAATCATCTTCAGGGACATCTGGCATCTTCGTTAGAAACATTTCGAATCCAAACCGATAGTTAGAGGGAACTTCCGCATCCACGAGAAGTTGGAAGAAAACTCCGGGAAATCGAAAAAAGTTCAGGGAAAGTTGGAAGATACTTCCGAGGAAGACAGAAGGTAGTTTCAGAGCAGATGTAAATCTGCCAGAAAGCCAGAAAGAACTCTCGGGGAATTCGGAAGACAGTCTCAAGTGATGCCTGAAGAATCTTGCGAAGCAAGGCACTAGAAACTTCCGGGAGTGGAAGACGGGCCTCTGTAGAAACATTGTGTAAAAGTCGAAGGACAATCCCGGGAAAAGTCTGCAAAAACTTCCAGGAGAAGTCGAATGACACTTTTTTTTCGAAAGAGGTTATTCATTAATCACGCAAACCACCCACCTAGGGGAGGAAGGTGGATACAATTTTTTCTTAGAATTGAATGGACGGTTGTCTACGCAAATCTCTCAAAAACTCTTCCGGCAAACAAGTTTGACAGCTGTGACATCAGAAAAACTTATTGCTGTGCAAATCTCGGCGAAAATGTTTTCATCAACTGAGTTAGGAATCTAATTATAAATAACACAAACGTCATTGTTGAGAAGCGGCCATATTAAAAAGGTTGTGTATTAATAGGCACTGGTATTGTTTGAAGTGCAGTCCGCTAGTTCAAGTATAATTTTGTCAGATCCACGAGGGGAAACTTCAGATGGAAAAAGAAAGCTTATCGACTATTGCTCTAGTGAAATCCGGAGTCATAAAAGCAAATCACTATCTTCACTTACCTAAATTTGATCGGCTGCTGACGGTGCCCTAGCTAGTGCTGCTTCCGGTGAAATGAACTACTGTCTCTTCTGCTTCTTCTTCTTCTTTGTGCCACATTTGTCAGCTTTTCTGCTTTGTTTATTTGTGATTGCTTGTTATCCTGAAAGAGAAATAGAACGAAATTGAACGTATATTAGAATTAACGCAAACTTTCCCGACTTGAACTGCATAAATGACTTATATAAAAATAAAGTTGAGTCACATAATCAAAGCAGCCAGGAAAAGGTCGCTCATATTCGTCAGAGTGACGTGACGGAAAAGAATAACAAAGTAATTTACAGCAATATCCAAATGTGCGCAATAACGGACACACCATGGCCACGTGAACTTCTCCGCTGCAAAGCGGGTGACGGTGGTATGACGACAAAGGGAGTCCGAGCTATTTTGTGGCACACATCTGTCCAAGACAAAAATGATAGATAAATATAAAAATAAACACAACGCGACATGCCCCAAACAGACAGTGTCAGTGAGCGTTCTACTGGCGGCGATGACCAAAACAGATCGACCACCCTGTTGGCACAGCGTCCTCGTTCTGCTGTATGTATTTGCGTGATAAAGCTAAATTACCGTCACGTTTCGCAAAACTGTTACCGCCCTTCTCCTGGAGCCGGAGGAAGGGGGATCAAGAAGATCACAATCAGGCTACATGACCACATTCATACATGGGCGGAAACGAATGTGTAAGAATTTACGTTACGTCATCAAAGAGTCCGCGACCCGAGCAACATCGCAACAATATAGGTTGGCGTGATTCGGATTTCGTTCGCTTTGACGTTAGTTCACACCCGTTAGCGTGTGAAGTTCACTGACTGCGAATGCCGACCGACGTGGACTTCTTGGAATTGGAACAGCTGAGTGTGGAATTCGATTCGATTTTTTGATAAGAACGCGTGAGAAAGTCAATACGAACACCGGTAAGCGGAATTTGATCACATGGTGATCTGTCAATTGCAGCTGTCATTTACAAAAAGAAAAAGAAAAACGCAGTAGGTCATCAAGTTGCTTCGAAACCGCAGCAATTTCTTAAATTTACCATTCACCATTATCGTTTCGGAGCAGATGCAAAATGGCGATCCGTTAGAAATAATAATTATGACGGCATCAGCGAAAATCAACTGAGAGGATATTGCAAAAATCACCTCAACGAGAAGCAGCAGCAGCAGCAGCAAAAAATGATGATGAATTGCGATGGTACAATTAGATGGTTCTCTTGGCAACCAACGGCCATCTGCTGCCAACCACTTCGTCGGATCGAATTGGGCTCTCGCGCGGGTGGGAAGTACAACCAGTTCCGTTGGCTGAACCCGTTCTCCAGTGCAACCATTCACACGCAATCGCCGCCTGCTCGGACGAACCTCAGCAGGCGGCGTAGGTAGGTATGAGCTCTCGCTTTTGAGCCCCGGTTGCTATGTTGGTTGTTGATGATGATTGCGATGATGAACATGCTATGGGAGGAAAAGGCTGATTCAATAACTGTATAGTGGTTCCCGGAAGGTTCCGGGAGGTTTGCGTGGGTGTTCAGAAGAGTGCATTCTCTATTTATTAGTAGGAAAATTCTACCACCACACACATACACACACGCGAGAAAAAAAGGGGACAGCGTGGGCTTCTAAAAACAACCGCTTGCGGCACTAACTGGTTGGAAGGTAAAGCTAAAGAGCTAAAATGTTGACGAAGTGACCTACTTAAAGTGCTGCCACCGAAAGGAAAAGAATACTGAGAAAGCAGACTTTATGACTTGACCTGTGCCTACCTATACCATCAAGGCTGCAGTGCAGCACTACAGCGCAGAGAACTGTAGGGCGGCGGAATGTGGCAAAATGAGTGATGGGAATTTCGATTGTTTTTTTTTATTCTATGTGATTTCGGCTTTTGAGGTTATGAAACCCGGCCGGTGCGGTATGCTAATGGTGATGAATGACTGAACCGGCGAGATCGGAATAATTGTGAGGTAATTTATTTTCTCTTTGAAATAAGTGGACCAGATGGAGTGATTAGATGGGTGCCGGCTAGAATGTTTCCAACAGAGAAATGGTAGAATGATATTTAGCCATCCGCGGTTGAGAATTTCCTTTAAATGATTTTTTTTTTTTAGAAAAGTAGACTTCATATTTAAGCTAATAGTGGTTCCGTTTCGATCGAAAAAAAAAATACGATCTAGGTTTTTGGAAATTCAAGTATGTAGATTGTGATTCATATATAATTCCCTAAGTATTCCGGGGTTTTCCAAGACTCCAACGTCTCCAGCTTTATTGGAGAATTTTTATTATACACTTAAAAAATATGCTACTTTGGGTAAAGCAATAACTCAAGTGTCTCAAACGATTTTACTTATTGTGCATGCGACTGAAAGCTGATGCGATGTTTTCGTTGGTATCACTTGAATTTCCTATGTTGCCATAGTAAGTCTCAACTCAGATTCACGAAATTCAGTTTAGTGGAGGCACGATGATAATTTAAACGTCATAAACAGTTCTAAAACTTAACAAATTTAAAGACAAATCATTGTTGGGAAAACATCAAAAAATTAAATCTCACCAATGCTCAAGATTACGCTTGATTCTCGTAGACAAAAATCAACAATCAAGCAACTGCGGATGATATTGCAAGCTGTGATATCGTAGCTACGAATATCAAGCTGACAAAGCTCACCAGCTACAATTCTAAAGTGGACCCTACACGATTACTTTTATTGACAATAATCGTATTGTCAATACATTATATATTGACGTCAATATATCGAGATTGACAATATTTCTGAATTCACATCATCAATATTATTGTCAATAATTCCCCTTCGCGTCAATATATTGATGCGTGTGGGGTTTGCTTAACAAAACCGTGGTGAGTTTGAGTTTCATGATTTTTGCTTTACATCCGAACGCGAACCGAACCTACCATCACTTCTGGCAGCAGTGCCTTCGTGTCTGCCATCGGTGAAGAGTAAAGAGATATAGCAAACTATACTTTCTCCCTCTAAGAAAACGATGTGCAACGGAATCATCTTTGTGTCGAGTCAATTCTCAGCTTGATTTTTGCACGTTGCGAATAGTCTCGCAATATCAAAGGAGCTTGTAAAATCAATATCAAGCATGATATTTTGTTCTAATATCACGCGGGACATTGAGAGCGCATGAGAGCGGAAAAATGTCATTTGAATGGTGATTTTCCCAACACTGAAAGACATGTACTTTAAATTATTAGCAAAATCAAGAAATTGTTTCATTGATGTGCGGATAGTTTTTTTTATTCGAGATTTTAGACCAAATAAAATTAAAATACATTTATAAAAAAAAAAATATAGAGATGAAATTGTACATTTTTTTTATCTAGCTCGTTAATTTGGAAGGCTCAATCGCGTTAGCTTTACGGAGCCGATAGTTCATTGTTCCTTGTTTGTAACAAAATTCACTTATTTCTTTGTCTAGTAAGTGCTAGACCGGCTACTCGCGGCTTATCCGAGGTTAGAAGGGTACATTGTCGAAGGATAGGATCAGGGGAGGAGCTTGCGGGTGGGCTTTCGTTGTCTCATCAGAGCATTGTCGTCAGTATGAACGGTAGTGCGGTTCTAGATTCGTATGGCGTTCGACCGACTATGATGTCCAGTGACCGATTATGAGACTCATCGGTACGGGGAGACAAGACAAATACAAACCAATGAAATTGTACATGTAGAATGATACACCAATTGAATAAACATAATTTAAATTAATGATAATTAATGTATTACTAAATTTTAAATACTTTATTTTTTAACAGAAATGTCGAGTACTATCTACAACAAAAGATCTACTAATGTATTATGATTTTCCATTTGATACTTATTTGGCATAGCATCATTTTACGTGAACAGGTTTCTAAATAGAAGAGTGCAAAATCTTGAATAAATTGACAATATTTTAAATCAAAAGAAATCTAGCTACAAAGAATTCATCCAGTTTTCCATGACTCATAGCAACATATTTTGAAGTATGATTACCAGTACAGTATGATTAAGATACTTACACTTTAAACTTTGATATTGGAATTGAAATCGGGAAATGAAGTATTTAATTTAAATGCATATATTGCAATTGAAATCTATAAAATTCATGGCGATGCTACGATCAAGCTCGCTTCACGGCAACGGGGCAGGCAGGCTGTGTCGTAGCCAGGCATGGAAAATCATTTACCTTCATTTCATGCAATCATTTACATTCATTTGCCTCTAACTTTTTTCATCAACAGCAATCTGCAAAATGATGTATAGAGCTTTAGTAGGTTTTGTTATTAGCTACAACTTTTGCCCATAACTCAAATCTGTATCTCTTATGCATCACGAATTAAAGCGGGCAGAACTTGTTACTGCTTTTCAGTGAATGTAAAATACATTCACTGAAAAACAGTAGTGGCTTCTGTTCGCTCTGGTTCACCATACATAAGAGATACGAATTTGAGTTGTTAACAAAAGTTGTAGGTATTGACAAAACCTACAAAAGTTCTATACATCATTTTGCGGAATTCTGTTGATGAAAAAAGTTAGGGGTAAATGAATGCAAATGATTTTCCATGCCTGGTCGTAGCATCGACACGCATTTTGCAGGTTTGGTATTATGACAGTGAACATAACTTTATGTCAAAGTTAACTTAGTAAAAGTTGAGAACGTGGAACAAATCAGTAAGTTTCAGAACAATGGAACCATCTCAAATCTTGCCGTCAATAGTAATGACTGTATCGCTGTTGTTTATCTAGCAATATTATTTGAAATTTTCGGGGCATCTTATGCCTTCATCATCTTTTTTTGTGAATTCAATTTAATGAAATTGAAGTAACATGTTAGCTAGTTCTTGTCTACTTATTTTTCTAAATTAATTTAATTAAATTCATATTTTTGGTAAAACAACAACTTCATTTCCACACACGATTTCAAGACATGACGATCAGTTTTAAGAATGTACAATCAAAACTAATAAAAGTTGAAGTTTAACATTAACTTAAGTGTGAAATGAATTAAGCAACTGGCTAAAAATCTCAATAATAAAGAAGAAAAAATGCCTTAAGTCTAAGATCTCATAAAATTTCAAAGCAGTGAACCATGAAATCGGGGAAACCGGAAA